GATAGCTAGTCTATAATAAGAAGTAGTAGCTAGAGTAGAGGCTAAAGAGGAAGCAGAGAGTAAAGAAGAGGAGTAAATAGTTGCTCCCCTTTACACTATAAATAATATTTAGCAAAAGCAGTAAAAAGGAGATATAAGTCTAGTCTCTTAAAATATATTTAAAACATATTAATAATACGTTATAGCTAGACACCTATAAATGCTAGATTCTTCTTTAATCTAAGGGACTACTAGAGCTTTATAATACCTATAAAAGTTAAAAGAAAAAGTTATATACTATTAAAGGACCCTATAAAAGTAAATAGTACTTTACTTTTAGTAGATAGAAAAAAAAAGAGAAGAGTAGAGAGTTTATTTTAGTAATTACTACTACCCCTTTAGGTTATATACTATTATATATTATTTATTAGAACCTATTCTTAATACGTTCTTAACGTGTTCCTACTTATTACTATTATTATCTCCCTCCCCCTCTCTAGTATCTTCTCTATCCTCCCTATCCTCCCTAGGCTCTACAAAAGCATACTGCAAGTGGAACTAGGCGGTATTCTAGCAGGAATTAGTAAGGTCCACACTAGTATTAAAGTAATAGTCTTAAAACACGTTAGGAATAGGTTAATAATATATTATAAATAACTTACTATAGCTAGGATAATTATAAGCGTAGATAGTATAAGGAACCTAATAACCTTAAATCCTTAGTAGGGTAGATATAGCAATAAAGTTAAGCTATAACAAGTTAGTAACATGTTTTTAACAGGTTCTTACAGGCTATACCTTATTACTATTATAGCTACTATAAGTCTTCTTCTAAATTATATTTAGGAGGGTATTAGTATTTACAGGGGGGCCTATAGTAGCTACTAGCTAGGCTTAGATAACTTCTATAAAATATATTAGTAATAAGTTTTAAATATATTCTAAATAACTTATAGCAAGGAGTATTCTAATAATTATATATAACCTTTATATAGAAGTCTATATATATTAGTATAACAAGTTAAGAATAGGTTAATAATATATTTACTCTTTGCCTTGTAGACCTCTATTATAGAGGGCTAGCTAGTCTTCTTAACCTTACTAACCTTATAGTAGGCTATATTAAGCCTATAATCTTTTTTAGCATAGGTATATAGAGTGCCCCTAGTACCTAGAATAGCCTAAGAATATTAGAACCTATTTAGAACACGTTTAGAACCTGTTCTTACTCTATATAAGGTGCCCTTGTTATTAATCTTAGTATAGTAGTAGCGCTCTCTACTCTCTATCTTAACTACCCTATTAGGGCTAACTATAGGCTATGCCCTAATATTATCTAGGATGTGGCTAAGGGCAAGGTACTATTAATAGTGCTTCTATAACCTATTAAGAACATGTTCTAAACATGTTTTAATCTACTTATATAGGATAAGAGGGATGCGTTAGTAATAGGTATAGTAGTAGTAGCTTATAGTATTACTAGTATAGAATATGTTTAGAATAGGTTTAGAACGTGTTGTAAAATCTTACAGCATAATATTTAGTTAACCTCGCTTAGCTAGCTAGTAGAGCTTGGCACGGCCTAACCCTATGCCAAATACGAGTTCACGCAGCGCTAATTCCATGGTCATATGAACTGCGCCCTCCCCTACCTCAGAACGCCCCAAATCCCCCAATCCAAACCTCCCTCGACGAATAACGAATAAGCGCTTTGTTCCCCCTCTGCCTCGGCGCCGACAAACCACCGCATCAAAGCCCCAGCAAAAAGCCTAGAACCCGGAGATTTCGCCACTCGTCCCGACCACTTATTCCAGACGGGGGTAACGTGATCCACCACCGAGCGCCCACCCCCACTAAGCGCCCACTAACACTAAAATTACTAAATTTTCAACACAAAATTTCTTAACAACTATAGCACCTATTAATAACGCGCTTGTAGTAATTAAATCCTTAACTCTTAGAGAAGATTTTATATACTTAGAAATAGTAGAAAAGTATAGTTACTTATAGTTAACCTTATCTAGATACTACTAGAAAATTTAGTAGGTATATACTACTACTCTACTAAATAGTTAAATACTTAATACTATATAAGAAAGTAAGCTTATAAAGTATATTAAAGAGCTTTATAAATAAGGATTACCCCCTATATAAACTATTATTTAAAATTTTATAACTAAAATATTAAGGAATTTAATAGATAAAAATTAGGTATAGTGCTTTATTAACTACTATAATATTAATCTTATCTCCTATTAAGCTACTAGGCTTAATTATAACTACTTTAAAGCTAATTCTACCTTTAAGTATAGCTTATATTTTAAGCTTTTATACTAAAAAATAAAGTAATATAATATTAAGAGTTAGTATATCTATAATATAAATAAAAAGGGTTTTCTTATTAGAGTACTATTAAAAACTAAATATATATTTAATAAGAGTGCCTATAAGTAGAGAAAGATTAGAGCTATACTCTAGGATAGTAATAAGGAGTAAATTACTACTATAGCTTATATATACACTAATAGTACTACTCTTACCTTTATGTGAAGGACTTAGGCTTATACCTAAGCCTAGGTCTAAACAAGACAGACTAAGTCTAACACCACTACTAAGCAAACACACTAGACACCTATAAAAAGGCGTAGAGGGCTTATCTCTCCTTTAAGATACTAAATACTATTATTAATACTTATTATATTCTCCCTTAAGGCTAGTCTATAACACTTTACTCTTATTTATTAGTCTTAATCTAGAGCTTTATAAGATACCTAGTTATAAAATTTTAACCTATTATAATACTAAGCTTTCTTTATAAGATTACTAAGTAGGTAGATAAGCTATACCTTAGGGGTATCCTAGCTTAAGGAGGTGTTTAATTATAAGATAAAAGCTAAAGCTTATACTTTATACTAGCTCCTTATTCTTAATAGCTATAGATCTTATATAATAATAAAGTTTATTAAGTACTATAATAAATATAAGATCCTACTTATAATATATCCCCCTTATAGCACTTATACCCTTTAGCTACTTAATATTATAGTATTTACTCCCTTTATAGCTTTATATAAAGCTTAACTATCTAGTTTTCTAGATAGCTTCTAAGGGCTTATAAGTATTACTAAAAGGGATTTCTACTAGTTATTTAATACTATATAGAGTAATACCTTTAAGGAAAAGCTAATATTAATAGCTTTTAAAGTAATAGGTATCTTACTACTTAACCCTAATATTATTCTTTTAAGGTTTAAAGCACCTATAAATAATAGTAACTAGCCTTCTTTAAGTAATAGTATAACCTTAATATTAAGTATAAGTAATTAAAGAAAGATAGAGTAGTTACTTTATAATACTATAATTAATATCTATAATAAATAGTTAAAGAAGCTTAGCTAGATAATCTATACTATATTAGTAAGAAATACTCTACTTAACTATAAAAATAAACACCTAAGGGCTACCCTAGCTAATAAGAAGAAGTATAGGAAGCGTAATAAACCTCTATTATTACCCCCTAATAATAATTATAGTAGTAGTGCTTAATTTATTTTACTATTAAAGGTAAAGTAAGTGTTTAAGCTCTAGAAGTAAAAGAACCTTAAAGAATAGGAGCTATAATACTAAAAAAGTAAGGTAATTAAGCTTTATAAGTAATAGAAGCTTACTAAAGCTTAATTTATAGAAAAGTGTTACCTAAATTAAATAATTACTAAGAAGAAGTAAGAGGAGAAAGCTACTTAAAAAGCTACTATATATAATAAGTAGAAAACTACTAAGTAACTAGAAAAGTAACTCTAAAATAATATTAAAATATCCTAAATAGATAAGAGGTAAATCCTTAAGCCTCCTACTATTATACTAGCTAAGGTAGTTAATAAGGAGCTAGTAGAAGAGGATATAGTAGTAGAGGTAACTTTATAGCGTAAGCGCCTAATTAGACCCCCTAAAAAGCTACTTATATAATCTAAAATATTTAATCTACTCTAATAGATCTAATAATCGCGACTCTAAGAAATCTTATAATAATAGCTATTATAGGTGGCGCAATATCCTTATTTAGTGGGTGGAGGATTTTGGTGTTGGTGGGCGCTCGGTGGGGGTGGGCGCTCGGTGGTGGATCACGTTACCGATATAGTTTTACACAGTAGTCATACCTTGGGGATGCCGGGCGCAATATGTGCTGAGTCAGGGGTGGGGCGATGGGATCGCGCTGGAGAGGATAGATGATGCAAATACAGGACTGTGCAGTGTTGACCTGGATGGTGGGTCGGGGCAAGGGGGAATTGCGTTGTGGGTGGTGTGTGTGCACGGAGAGCAGGGGTGGACCTTGTGTGTGGGTTTTTGCTTGGTATATATAGTGTATGTACTAGAGGTACTCGATCCGAGGGCTAGATTATGCAAGAACTGGGGGTACCTGGGATGGGGTTGGAGATTTTTTTTGGCTGCTTTCTTTTAACAGAACTAGAGGAAATATTTTTGCAGGGAGGGAGGGCTACGTTGGGGATTTTTTTTAATGTAAGTCATTGCCGGTTGTTGGCGGGTTCAAGAGGCATACGTATTTCGTGGCGACTTGGACTTGGGGATAGGCAAGGGTATCATGTTTGGACAACTGCGGAACATGTTCATGGATTATGAGGGAGAGGAGAGCCAAAATTGGGCTGATGGGGGGAGAGACGCGATTTTTTTCTACTGTTAGTGATTCAATTGATGGCAAGGTCGCATGGCAGGAAAACATGCACATCGTCAAATTTTGAGTAAATTTTTCCTGGAGAGGTAGGTAGTATGTCTACGCATTCACCATCAACCTTGCATATGCCCGAAAGATCCTATGCATCACAGACTGCTCGAAGCACCGTGGACATGGCCATGCGTTGATGGGACGTGACCCAGAGGTATGGGCGCGCCAACATATAAACAGCGAAACCCTCTGAAAGGATTCCATTCAATCCGTCCCTACATATCCCGCCAGAATATATCGTAGTGCAGCCGATGGGCGTACACAGTGTGGTGCCCTACTTCTAACATAAGAGACCCAGACCCTGGTCAAGAATGTTCTGGTACTCCATGCGCTGTCGGCCTACAATGCTGTTGCGTTTCGGTTTTCCCGCAACGTAGTACTCCTTGAACTGGACATTTGCGTTAAGAAATACGAAGTACTCGAAGACGTCGAGGCGCAGGGCGCCGTCAGCATCTTCTTGTGCAGAGTCATGCCAATGAACGATCACCTCACGGAGCTCAGGCGCCTGTTGGAGGATTTGAATGACCAAGCTCGTGCGTTGGCGGAGAAGGGCGGGGAAGATCTCATCGACGTAGCCAGTTGTGTCCGTGTGCATCCAGGCTGAGTCCCAAACAAAAGTGACTTCTATCTTGCGGATGCTCTCTATGGGAGAAAAGGCGACTTTAGTGATCTGGCTGACAGCTTCTTCAACGAAAGAGGTGTGCGCGAAGCTGGCAGTAGCCTCAATATGAAGGACGGCGACGTTATAGAACCAATCCTTGGCTTCAGTGCTGAACTGTTGAGAAATCAAGAAGAGCTCGACTGATGGCGGGCACTGGGACAGGCGCATGAAATTGGGGACATGACGCCATTTAGCCGGGACGTGGATGATAGGAGAGCGTAAGTCAGTTGCAGCATCTTCGCCATCGTTAACCCGGTCATCCGCTTCATCATTGCTGTCCTCACCCCAATTTTCATTCCAGTACTCATAACCGTTATCTCCAGTTTCGTCCAGTTCGTCCTGTTCATCCTCATTGCTGGCCATTTCATCTTCTTCGTCATCGTTATCATCCTCGTCATCAAGTAGGCCGTCTTGCTCCTTGCTCTGGGACCCATTTGTAGAATTTGCATTTCCTGGAAAGTTCCCCGATGCCACCTGTGTGGGAACAGGCGCAGGATTCTGGGTCTGGGTGGAAGGCACGCTCACTACTGCTGTAGCCTGGTCATCCTCATCCTCTTCCATGGTCTCATCATGTTCATCAACATCGTCATCAGTATCGTAATCATCATGTTCAGGCTGGCCATCGTCATCCTCGTCGTACTCGTCGTTTTCGGCTTCTTGGCTGTTCTCCTCGCCCTCGGCTTCATCGTACTCGTCGCAGTCCGATATCTCACTGTCTCCATCAAAGGCATCGGCGCAGTAGATTACTCGAGGTGCAGGCCCGGCAGGGTGGTCGGCGGCCAATTCGGAAATCTGCTGTTTCGCATCTTGTTTTTCGAACCAGTAGCGCAGCAGATTCTTGGCTTTGAAGGGACGTGAAGCTGCGTGGGCAAATATGTTATGGCGCACCTCCAGAGGCAGGCTCGCAAGAGTGGCTGTCGCCTGTTCAGCCATACCGTGTGATTGGGGCCCCGTGTAGGCTGGACAGTCGAGGGGAAGTGAGAGAAATTGGTGGCAAGGCGCAGATGCCTACGGTGGGTATTATATATTCAGGGCCTAGGCGGGGTCGGGGTGCCGTTGGTGAAGCTAGAAGTCCTGTTGCCTACCGAGAGCATGCGCGGGGCCACCTTTAGTTTCCGACTCGCACAAGTAGATCACTGTGATAGGAAAGTGAATGTGATGGCGATTAGGGCACAAGTGGGTACTTGGCTTTTTCTTGTATTAGATCCCACTATAGCTGAGGAATATAGGAAGAACGTGAAGCTGTGATCTGGCCTGTTTGTTGTGATGTCTGGTTTGGGTTGCGACTTCGCTCTGGCGTCGTTACCGGTCTTCACTTGATTGGCTGCTACCAATACCGGTACCTGCCTGAGAGCGTGACTGGCAATTCACTCGACAATGTCTGCAACGCCCCTTATGATCACGACCCATAACCCAGACCTAGGCAAGCTTGACTGTCTTCCCATGCAACCCACCGAGTGGCATTGCCGTCGCAGAGAGCATACGCAGGAACTCCTCAGAAGAGTGACTGACTGATACCTCACGCAGCAGGTCAAACACATGAATTAGGTACCATGTTCATCATATTTCTGACCCCCCAAGACACTCGATTTGTTGAAAAATCATCACAAGTGATTTGTGTTTGACTATGCATGTGCTGATGAAGTGCAAATAGGGAGAAATGAGGTGCTCCTGTATCTTCATCTTGTGACCGTGTTTTTTGATGATTGTTCAGGCGGTTTACTATTCAACCATCTGAGCAACTGGCCAGTCGATGGTGGCTTCCGTAAGCTGAGCGTCCTCGACGACAATGATGGTATTGTCCAGTGCCGCTCCTACTCGAATGGGAGCAAGCAGCAGCAATAGTCCTTCGGCCTCGTCTCCCAGAGCAACCATCTTGCCATCAATGGGATATTTAATCCCACTCGACTCTCTCTTCTTCTTCTTCCTTCAATCCACTCATCCATCCATCAACTCCCAGTGTCGTGTCAACCAGCATCTTTACCTTTCTCCACCTTCAGCAGTACCATCAGACAACACAACCACCAACACTCCAAGTCAACCGTCAACTACTGCCAATATCTCTGCACCCCACTGCACGTCATGTTATTAACCACTGGTGTCATTGCTGGCCTGGTTGCCCTTGGTGCAGCTTCACCTGCCCCTACCCCAGACGACAACCACGGTCGCTGGTCGATCAGCTGCAGCGGAGCAAACAAGTGCGGATACGTACAAAGCGGGCATGGGAAGACTCATGGCGAGGACCCTGTTGCAACATTGGAGGGGCGCAGTACAGATGAGCCCATCGAACCGCCATGCCAGGATTGCAGCAGTGACGGCTTCAAGTCCTCACTATGCTCTGTAAGTTTCTTCTCTGACCTTTACAACACCGTCCAACTCAACTAACGTACCAACCAGTCATGCAAAGGTCTGAAGAACGAAGTCGGTGTGGCCATCTACGGATGCTACCTCCCTTTCACGATGGACAAGATGTGTGTCTCCACCCCGGGCTTTGACCCAGAAATTCACAATACGACTGGAGTCGCAGTCTCCCTGTTGCGTCGTGGTGACGTTCGGCCACAATATGGTCCTGAAGAGCCCAGTCCCATGCCCAGTGGGCCAGAGCACGAAGTCGACGAACCTGCATACGAACGCCCTCCCCATAGCTCAGGAGACCATTCCAAAGGACCACCCAAGCAGCCCTCAGAAAATCCGTACGTAGCTCCTGGTACGGTTGCACCTGTCTACACCCCTCCAAAGCCAACACACGCAGTCGGTAAGCCTCCCGGAGGCGTACACCATGGTGAAGGAAAATCGGCTGGCCCTCCTGGCGCTTCTAATCTGGCATACATGAAACCTTCTCAGACGAACAGTAAGCCTTCACATCACCCTCAGTCCCCTGCACACAGTCTCCCATCGTATGGTCCTGGTTCATCTTCTCATGGCCCACCTGCTCATGGCCCACCTTCTCATGGTCCACCTGGCTATGGACCTGAGAAGCCTACACCAGTTGTTGTGACCAACCCTGTCGTATACGACAAGCCCACACCAGTATATGAGAAACCTTCAAATCGACTTCTGTCTCCTGTTTATGGTCCTCCCGCAGACCAACATCCTCATCGTGCATACGATAAGCCTTCTCGAGGACCACACGGAACGACATCCGCCTACGCAACGCCGACAGCCGCTATAGAGAAGCCATCTTACGGGCCAAACAAGCCCTCTTCGTCTTTGAGCCAATCGACGCCACTCTATGCAAAGCCAGCAGGAGATTTTGAGAAGCCATCCGATAAGGAACACACTAGGAAGCTCGAAGAGCAATATTCATCTCCAGTGAAACCCAGCGGTGGCAGGCCCACGGGAATCAAGGCCCAACATGGGATGCCTGTGCACGGCCAGCCCGCCAGCAAAGACGCAGTCTCCAAGAAGCCCATCCCATATATTGAGATCGACGAGTCCGAATGTATCGACTGCCTTGAAGGAGATGCTTGTTACGTACGTCGTTCTTCATGCCCTTCCCATCTTCACTCTCTTGGACAGCATGACTAACTACTTGCAGGACGAATGTGACTGGATGTTCAACTGTGGTCAAAAGAAGAAGTGCTTCCACAACGGCGCCCGCGACATTTTCGAGATTTGCTACGAAAAGGGCCAAGAGTGCTCAGATGATAAGAATGTGGGTTACGGCAAGCCAAAGGCTCAGAGTAAGAGCCATGGCAAGCCCGAGGATCAGAGCAAGAGCCACAACAAGCCTGAGGCCCAGAGCAAGAGCCACAACAAGCCTGAGGCCCAGAGCAAGAGCCATGGCAAGCCCGAAAGTCAGAACAAGAGCTACGAAAAGCCAAAGGATCAGGACAAGAGCTACGTGCAGCCTGCAACTGCGCCCGCGCATGAAGCCACGGAGAAGGAGGGAGGGCATGAGTAACCTTGCCAAGTTGCAGGCTAATCAATGCATTTGAGTGGAAGTGCGCAGTATCCATGGCTGAAGCGGGGTGGTTCTGGTGGTTCGACGTATCGCGGTGGTTTTTTCCTTTCTGTGGTGTTTTCGTTGAAGGTGGAGGAGTTTGGTTTGTTGTTTGGTTTGACGTTTTGGTATTATTAACATCGTAACGAACCTTTCCCTACTCCTTGATAAATAAGACGTAGTCTTTCTTTTCAATGAATTGCCTTGACACTTCATCGTGGGTGCTTCTTTTTCATCGTCGTGTGTTGTCATATGTCGCTGCTGATCGAGCCTTCAATGCTGATCTTGCTGAGTTGTGCCTTCTCGCCTTTCCAACGTCGTGGGCGCGTGGAGTGCCTAACAATCGTACCTGCCGTCCTTGGTAATATGCACCTCACTCTTGTAGCCACCCGCACTTCTTGATATGAACACGTTCAATTGACAATCTTCTTTTCCTCTGAATCACAACACGCATCAATGATATCATCGACGAAGAGCCATGTGCACTCCACAGCATGATGCCCAGACGTACTTAGCGAGCGAGAACCGAGCGCCACCCAGTCATCAACCAAGCTACAAAATCCTGTACCTTCAAACCAGGAACGCATATTTTAGCTGATATGGAGGTCTTGGATCTGCTAGACCGGCGTAAACATCACCAACAGCAGAGTTGTCGTTATATGCTGATATCCAGGCACTCGTGGATCCAGACGCCCCGCCCCTTGATGTTCTATAGGCGCATGGAGAAGCTGGGGGGCATAAATGATGTAGTGCTCGTGCTGCTGTAGAAGGTGTGAGAGAGTTCAAATCTAGAGTGAGAAAGAGAGATGGCTGGGCAGTGGAGCTCCTTCACCCCATCCGATCCGAGATGAACTAACAGCCGAGAATCTTTGGATTTGGTAAGGGGAAGGAAGGCAGTATCGCGTGTGATGTTCTTCCTATCCACCCAGAAACGACGGGATGTTTTTCGTTTCATAATCAATCTCCCACTAATCTAGCCACCCCGCCCAAACTAACACTGAGGCTCAAGCTCACTTTCATGCCCTGTGCCCGTGCCGAGAATTGCTGGTTGTGCTGGTTCCATTCTTTCTTCAGCGAGGCGCGCTGCTGCAGGATGCTTGGTTTGCGGGGCGGACGGGGTAGGGATGAACTTGCTTTCCTGGGTAAGGGGTTTGGTTTTGCGTGGAGTGTGTCGTGTTTGATGGGTTCGAGCATGGCGGTAACACAGGCGAGGGATGGGGACGGGAGGTTTGCATAACGCAGGAGGCCAGATTGCAAGTGTATGATGAAAGCTTCAAAGCGGTATGGATGGATGATCAATCTGTGCATCTCTGCAACGCCATTGTGCTTGGATTGGGCGCTTGACAACAGGGTGGATAAGCTCCGGTACTGGGGCAGTTCCCAGATAGCGTTGTGTTTCTCCGTCACAAGGATGAAGTTGCTGTTTGCCCCTAGAGCAAGGATACGTGGCCGATCAGTCCAGTTCCCGTCTTCTATCTTGGTTTGCAACGCCGCGAGTAGTTTGGGGGGCAGATTCATCCATGAATACGCGATGCCGTCGTGGACGAACCAGGAGTCGTTGTACGGCCCAAGTACACACTGGATGTTAGGTACATTTCTAGTCCACTGGCCCCGCGCGCTTTGGTCGTATAGGAAAGTGGTTAGTTCGGGGGGTAGGTCTGCACAGTCGATTCGGTCTTGATTCCGTGTGTCACGCCATGTGAGGAGGAAACTGTCTTCGTAGCCCAGGGCGATGTGGTGGATTTGCTTCATTTGGGGGGAAACGAGTAGTTTGGCGAGTTTTGCTGGTAATCGAGCACTGTGGTTGTGAGTAGGTGGGAGGATTATGGTGATTGGGACGTATCTACTGGTCTGTTTTTGATGGACATTGGAAGAAGTGGCTTCCGCGTTGGCCCAAGGCGAATGTGGAGTCGCACATGATCGCTATTGTCGAGGCTTCCAGCGAAGAGGACGTAAAACAGACACCGCACTATTCATTCAATCACCGTGAGTGTCTTCGCGAAGTCGTGTTTGAGGATTATAAGTCGCAGACATCGATGTATCGCCATTGAATCGCCATGGACCCACGTGCCAAGCCCATCGTTACCAGGATTAAATCAGGATAGCAACGCCGCTCTTCGCTCTCATCTGACCATCAGCAAGGGAAGACGTATCAACAAAAACACCATTAAACAATTTTTGGCACAGCGTTGATTGAGACCCAAAGTGCTCTGAGTGCTGCGAATGCTGGAGTTAGTAATGAGTCCAGATCTAGCGTACTCGGATCGTGTTGCGCATGACGTCAAGCAAGCCACTCAATATTCGCGTTCAGCATGAGCACGACGTCTTTCTTCTCCTTTGGGCCTGATGATAGCTTCATCTCCAAGAGCTTCGCGGGATTGAATTTGTGAGTTTAGCTACTTGGCTGTTTTGATCGTGCATTTCACTCTGGCCGTCGTCTGCCTGTTTGAGTGATGCGTCCGGGGGCTTGGTACCGGTAGATTATAACTATGAAGAATTCTATTCGCTGACGGCTGCTATACGTCGACAAGACAGTATGACAATCAGATATCCGCTCACTAACGATCCCACAGTCGCAATCTATCTCATTCACTCCGCGATCTACTGGTTAGCAGCACAGTATCTGAAGTTCACTGGGCGGCCCTTGGCGCAGTATCCGATTCCTGGATACTCAGCTGCAAAGGTGCTATAGGGAAGAACACTCTCCGCTGGGGACCTTCCATTCCCTCGCGCCTTCAAGCGATTTTGAGCAAAGCATGGCCTTCGCCGCACCTTCGCTGCTTCCTTGGCCCAGACGACTCATTTATTATCTGGCACCCTGAATTCATCCGCTGGGCAAATCTCCCACCAGCTTTGGAAGATGCTCTTCAATCTTGGCTCACACCCAGTGGATGGCGTGTGGGGCCTCCGCGAATAGCAACGTGGGGGCCAGATGATGCGTTCTTCGCAATGAGCGAGTATGGTGAAGTTGAGTACCATTTTGGCGAACCGGATGACGATGGAGAAGTGTACTGGGGAATCTTCAAAGAGACAATAGAGGAGTGGGAAACGGAGGTGGGCTTTCTATGGAGCACTTTGTCATTCATCGCTCTTGATTCGACAAGCACGGATCAATTCGTTGCGGTGAGGCGCGATGGAACATGGGCGGGAAGCATTGACGATGTCAATGAAGATGCCCTGGAGGACTTTGCTTTGAACTTTTGGCCAAATGCAAATTCCAAGAACAAAGCGAATGCCGGTGGTGGTCAAAATGGTACTCAACATCCACACACAGCCACAGGAACTGGTCCAATGCAGTCGGACCCAAGAACACAACTACTGTACGAAAAGTGGTCCAAAGATACAGCCATCGTGTTTGCCTCGGCGTCATCGTGTCTCTCTGAACCCAAGCCAAAACAACCACCTCGCAAACTACAAGTTCGCTCCGCATCGCAATCGTCTAGTTTAGACGCTGCGACACCACCCATGCCGCCTCTGACACGCGCACCATCCACCGAACCGAAACTGCTCACAAGTTTCCCATACCTCCCAAGTACTCTCTCAACATGCACTCTAGCCACATGTAGGCTGCTCAAGTCTGAGGCGAATAGCATACACGCATGTCAACACGACGTCGAGAGATTGCTTCGTGCGAGTGGGTCGTATAGCTATGAGTGGTTGAGACAGGAGAGATTACGGTGGCATCCCGATCGTTTTGGGAGGCTGTGCGATGAGCGGTGGAGGGAGACGGGGAAGAAGATGGCGGGGGAGATGTTCAAGGTGTTGAGTGCGTTGATTGACGATTTGAGGATGAAGGAGAAGGAGGGTGAGACGAATGGGATATAGTTAGGAGACGGGCAATTTATGTATGATAAGTATGGTAGGCATCCTCACGAATCAATAATCAGGGTATGGTTAATTACACTATGGTCTAGATGAATTTTTCATGTACACATATCAACGGATATTCATTTTTCGATCTACTCTAGTCCGAGGTCGTCGTGGAAGTACCTATGTATCGTATGTGCCTAGCGGCGATTCGACGCTGTGATACTAACTCGGAAGTGCATGTCTTACCCCAACACGCACTAGCTCCCCCTGTATCAACGCAGGTGACGCGATGACGTCCCGCGGCCCCCAGCCTCACCCAAGCTTCTGACCACAGCGCTATCTCTGAGGCAACTAGCAACCTCTCCTCTCCACCCTCTCCACACCACACACCGCCTAACTCGACCGTACCTCTACCTTTGAGCTCACCGAAACGCCTTTCGGAAGCTCTTCAACAGCCATCGCCTGCACAGCTGGAACGGTACAGCGAAAGCATGCAGCTCTCGACACTCTTCCTCGCCGCGCTCAGCGCCGTTAGCGCCACAGCTACCCCATGGGGCGGCAGCCAGGTTGTCGTGAAGGAAGAGTACAAGGTCCCTGGTGACAACCCACTGTACTTTTGTGGCGACCCAGCCGACGACATCTTGAAGATTGAGAAGGTGGATCTAAGTCCCAACCCACCCAAGCCGTACGTTTCTCCCCATGTCCGGCCAGGACCCAGGCACAAGCCTATGTTTAAGTTTGCGATAAACTTCTAAGCATAACACGATGCAACATTGATGTTCGAATTTTGAATAGTTGAATCATGCTGATGATTGCGACAGTGGCGAGACGCTTTCCATCATCGCAACAGGCGATTTCAAAAAGGAAGTGGGCGAGGGCTTTAAAATGCACCTTCAAGTCAAATATGGCCTTATCACGCTCATCAACCAACAAGCAGACGGTTGCGACACAATCGGCAAGGCGGACCTCGACTGCCCGCTCAAGAAGGGCGAGATGAAGTTGACCAAGGATGTTGATCTGCCCAAGGAGATTCCTCCGGTACGTAGGACCTCACATCGACACTGCGACACCAAAAAAATCACCCCTAGCAGCACTCCGCGCGCATTATTCTTGGCTAGTGCTAACATGATGCAATAGGGCACCTACACCGTACTTGCAGACGTTGTCACCGAGGACGGCGACAAGGTCACCTGCCTCACTGCCAAGATTGCCTTTCACCGGTAAATGCGCTTTCGTCACATTACATGCCCACCTATCGACTGTTTCAACGAGGCCTATATCTGATGTTTTATCTTCTCCAACGACAGATTGGGAGCCCAAGAGGATGCAGCAGGTGTCAAGATCGGTGGGCTGAAGCTTGGCAAGCCTAGGTTTCAGATGTCGGGGCCGTTGGCGGGTATGGTGCAGGAGAGACTCAGGACGAGGAATGAACTTTGAGTTGGGGGATATGTGTGTATGTGTGTATGTGAAGGGTGTTATCGTTTCTTGATGCGCGATACCAAAGTGATCGATGGTTTGACTTAGTGCCATGGAGGAACAGTATAATGTAGATATGAAAGCAATGCATGCTTTCCTTCATGGCAAATAACACCGAGCCTTGTGAGCAGATATCTAATTCGCATGTCGTGACTTGCTCTGGGAACCTATAATAGTCCCTCTACACGTAAAACCGTTCGCCGTAGATGACTCCTCGATAGTGCAGATATGTACTCGGGCCCATAGTGACTTCATGTACCCTATCCACGCCTCTTCCCCCCCACCTCCACCATTCCCAGCAACACACCCCAACCCAACCCAACACATCTCTACTCCCCAAACAGCCGCCTAACCCTCTTCAACACACTGTCCTTCTCCGGATCATAGGGGTGGTCTTTGCTTGGAATCTCCAACAAGCTGGGAAAGGCAGCCGTATAGGTCTCGACACGATGCCGTATCTTTTCCGCAATGTGCTGGTTGATGAGCAAGATGGCAATGTCCTTGCGCTCGGTGGTGAAGCGGTCAAAGGCAGCTTCTATGGCAGCGGCGTCCGGTTGGGCGTGGAGGACGAGGAAATTTTTTTGCAAGTCGGGGGGCGCTGTGACGTGGCCGACGCCGGCGAGGAGCATGCCTGTTACGGTGTCCTTGGGAAGAGGTTAGACTATGCTGGAGAGGATGGGTGTGCGTTGACGAGGGGGTGGTAGTGGGGATGCATGATGGTGGTGGTGAAGGTGGAGATGTTATCGTGAATGGGAGCAGGGGAGAGGGGAAATACCTCATCGCCTATGACGGCTAGGAATTGCCGGTCTTTGTATTGGCCTGCTGGTGCTGCCATGGTGTGTTGTGTTCTAGGTGAAGGGGGGACAGCTAGAGGGAGCCGCCACAACTTGGGATCGTGAAGTTGGAGCTTCGAGGTGAGCTCCAGCCCTATCGTCATAGCAGAAACGCGCTAAGGACGGAATAGGCGAACTGTTTGGCTCGCCGCAAAGCACACCCTCAGTCTTTCTTCCTTTCTTTCTTTCTTTCTTTCTTTCTCTGCCCAACCGCGCCATGTTGTGAATCTCGTTGTCTCGGCTTTTCCACTTCTCTTTCTCTCACACTCTCTCACACACACTCTCTCTCTCTTTTCAACTTGCCGCCCATCAACCTTCACCGGTAATCATATTAATATAGGAGAGAGACGACAAGATGCCCCGCCTCGTCCGTCGCACGCCCGTCCTCGAACGCATAAAAGCCTATCTCGATCCCTCCGACTGGCTCATCTGGATTGCAGAGGAACTGAACAGCTCGGACTGGGAAGACTGTGCCTCAACGTACTCGCTCTACCTCGGCTTTAGCGCAAACTTTCTCTTCATTCTTGCACAGGCAAACAGCGGCGCATCCTCAACATCCGAAGACGATGGCGTGTTCAATACAGTCCAGGGCCCCGGCTGGTTGAAGTGGTTTGCGAATCTGGTGGTACTTGTGCTCATGGGTACAAGTTTTGGCAATGCGTGGCTGGTCTGGGGAAAGAGACGACATTACAGGTTGTTTGAGCAGAGTGTGGAAAAGGCACCGCGGACACCGAGTGCGAAGCGCGTGCGAGTGGACTCCTCGCCTGCGAGTGCATCACCAATGGCATTTGTGCGCAACTTGGTCACCAACTCGGCCGCGAGTCGGGCACATCCGGATGAGCACCGCGATGTGTGGGAGATTGCCGTTTGGGATCCCAATCCCCTTTGCTTGCAGCTGTTCTGCCTCTTCAGCCCACTGCACGTCCTACTTTACTACTTTAACCTTCCCGTGCCGCAGTTGGACCCACGGCCCAGCGTCAAGCTGACCACCACAATCGTCATCGGTCTAGTCCTATCGTTGCAGATGTGGTGGCTCCGTCGCTCCTTCATCCAACAAACCAAAGACAACGCCATCATCAGCCGCGAAGTCCTCCACGAATACGACTCCAAATTCGTCCACCCATCCCTCCAAAAGCCCTGCCGAGACGTTGCCATCCAAACAATCTCCAAGCGCCCCTACAAAGACTCGAGCGTCGGCGTCCGAGGCACCAGCGATGGTCTCGCCAGCGAGATCACCACCTACACCCCCAAGACCGTAATCAACCGCACCTTCCGCACAAATCCAAATGCAAACTACGTAAATCAATACGACCCAGACAACGCATCTACTACCTCTATTGCCAGATCCACACAAAACACCCCCCGTGCATCCTACCACTCCACCACCGCCTCCGCGGCCGCCTCCTCCTCCGCAGTCCCAGACTTCTCCCCAATCCGACAGTCACAACCACCTAACCCCTTCCACCAAGCTCCTCCCATGCCACGAACCGCCCCCAACAACGATGGAGGATATCTCGGCGTCAAAATGCATGCAGCCTCACCCCTGCGCAAATCCGCAAGCGCGAATTTTTTCCGCGATGCAGAGGGGAGCAGGATTGCGTCGCGCGGACGCGAGAGTCTGGGCGGAGCGGGGGAGAGAAGGGTTAGGGAGCGAGAGGGAAGTCCGCTGAAGAGGGCTAGTACACCTGTGGGAGATGGGTTAGGGCAAGGAGAGGGGAGGAGGCTGTTTGGCAAAGGGGATCGATCGGGAGGATATGAGGGGTTGGGAGTCGGGCGAAGGGAGAGCTCGAGGTTTGATTGATGCCAAGTCGTGCTTGGGAAGGCTTTGGTACAGAGGTTGTTGTGTATCTGTAACCGGGACTTTTGAGATGATGTTGTATATATCCCGTTTATGTATATCTTTTCTTCAATCGAGATTTACAACACTTCACGCAATACCCCTGCATCTTCGCTGTATATTTTGTGATTTTTCCTCTTCCTCCCTAAGATTAAGTTTATCTTATTTCATCATCATTGACCAGATCCATGTCGCTTCCGGGTCGATGACGGGGAGCTTACTACCTGAGCGACATACTCTGTCCACTGACATGTCAGCTCAGTTAAAGAAGAAAAACTACCATAGAGCAGTTCCACTGTTACCACCCGCTGATAATCATTCTAGCTGATTGAGCCGAATATCTTCGACAGCCCAGCTGACAAGGATATCAGAAGCAGAGCAAACTGAATGACGCTGGCGATCTGCTCTTCTTGATCAAAACGTGTCTCTTAGGCTGAGTGCGGTGATCTCACCTGTGTGGCCAGCATAGCTGTATCTTCTAGGCCTGGTGTTTTCCATTGGATGGATGTTCGTGCAAGGAAGCTCAGAGACGAGTATGTGAAGCCTGGAAAGATGGTAGTGTGAAGAGCGACGCTACGATCATTAGTTGTGATGATAGCCCACCGATAGGGGATGGACACGTCGTGGGCATCTACTGAGAAACGGCTTTCATGCCCATAGTGCCGAATAGCAAGGCAGAACTGTTTAATTTTGATACATTGGCTGTGGGTGATGTCTCTACATCTGGTTACTTAAAATCATGCAGCCAGCTGAAGATCTGTATCATTTCCCTATGTTCTATACATAGTTTGTAGGAGTAGTGATAATCTCTTGTTCTTGTATTTATTAAGATCGGACGACAGTCAAAGAAGCGCGCGGTTGAGCAAATCTTAAGTTTCTTGATCATGGCCAGTGTGGGCTTGGACGATCTTCTCCGTGATAATTTGATTGGATGGTACGTACATGAGGCCCTGATGGGGTCCCCATATTTGCTCCTCGATGTAGGCGACGTTGGGAGAACAGAGCCAATTAGTTGGCGAAGTGTGGCGCTGGATGAGGCATCGGGTCGAAGGCCGTCCTTCCCCAAGTCCCTTCGGACGGCCCGCTCCCTGCACAAGCGAACGCCCTCCACATCCTCTGGTATGATTAATGGCATCGTAGGAATCCTTCCAGCGTCCATTCAATTCCTAGCTTGACTAGTGGACTCGCTTCTGTCGGTTGGAGGCCTAGCCCGTAGGGCCTCTCTTCCTACAGATTGTGCCACAGCGGCGCATGAGGGGCACGGGGTCTCCCACCAGTTCAGCCAGCCCTTGCGTATTCCGTATACTATAAATCTTCTGAACCCTGTCGCCATACTGCATATTTCGTTCCGTCTGGACGATTACAGGACCAGACTCTTTCAGCGCAGCCAGTCATGGGGCCCCCTCGGCAACCACAAACTTTATGCAGTCATGAGGCCACTCCCGCAAGCATACCGGTACCCCGTTGATTTCATTCTCTTTGTAATACCTAGAATACTTCGCTCGCTTCAAGTCTTCTTGGCTGTACTGCTGCTCATTCGACAAGTTAGACAGTGAGTCCTCTCGTCACGGCTCGCAACAACAACAACTGTGCTTCTCATCACACTCACGTCGTCATGTCAGATGCCAAGTCAGAGGCTGTCCTCCAGCAAGTGGATAGCGAATTTGGCCGCGGTATCGAGGTTTCAGAGGAAAGGGGAACGACTGGCGATCAAAAGGACATGCATCGCATGGGCAAAAAGCAAGAGCTACGACGAAACTTTCGTTTTGCATCAATATTTGGGTACTCGATGATCTTGATGGCGACATGGGAGACGATACTTACGTGAGTGTGGGGAATGTCGTACATGCTTACTAGTTCAATTTCTGACGTTTGACAGGACGCTTTTAATACCATTGACTAATTGAACAGAGTAAGAAAATTTTTTTATCTGTAGATGCCGTGATTCAC